TTTGCATAACGTCAGTATAGTCAAGGAAGCATCATGCAGAATATATTGTCACCAAGAACATAGCCAAATAAGGTGCGCTGTCACCTGCTTTTATAGTATGTTTTGAGGTGGTACCACCCAACACATCTAGAAGGGATTATATTTGATTCTGAACCCCTCCCTTGAGATGACGTGGAGCAACATCACGATTTAAATGGTAGAGTTGAACTGCTAGGGGCAAAAAGAGCTAGATTTAATACTAAAATACCAAAATATATCACTTTTGCAACAAACTGTCAAAATGAAGACCAGAATTGACGTGTTTCACTATAACTAAGCCTAAAAACATCTGGTTTTCAATTAAAAAAAAGTTACTCTTTAAGTTCAAGGTCAGAATAGCATAGACAAAAGTGCATAAAAGGGGAATTGCGTTCCTCCCTTGACTAGGAGGTCAGATCTCTCTCAGCAATTTGTGTTAGTGCTGAAGTTAAACTGATGTACAATTATCTCCCAATTATACAATTACGATCATTTCTAGTATTTGCAATTTCACTCACAGCACATAACTTCTTAAAGAGAGAGTAGGTTTGAAGTAAATTTTTTAAAGAATATATTTTAAACATATATTTTCCAGTTATGCAATGTACAGCAGAAGAATGTTCTTAACATACAGTACCAGTCAAAAGTTTGGACACACCTACTCATTCCAAGGTTTTTCTTTATTTTTACTATTTTCTACATTGTAGAATAATAGTGAAGACATCAAAACTATGAAATAACACATATGGAATCATGTAGTAACCAAAGAAGTGTTAAACAAATCAAAATATGTTTTATATTTTAGATTCTTCAAAGTAGCTACCCTTTGCCTTGATGACAGCTTTGCACACTCTTGGCATTCTCTCAACTAGCTTCATGAGGTAGTCACCTGGAATGCATTTCAATTAACAGGTGTGACTTCTTAAAAGTTATTTTGTGGAATTTCTTTCCTTCTTAATGTGTTTGAGCCAATCAGTTGTGTTGTGACAAGGTAGGGGTGGTATATAGAAGATAGCCCTATTTGGTAAAAGACCAAGTCCATATTATGGCAAGAACAGCTCAAATAAGCAAAGAGAAACGACAGTCCATCATTACTTAGAAAGTGCAGTCGCAAAAATCATCAAGCGCTATGATGAAACTGGCTCTAATGAGGACCGCCACAGGAAAGGAAGACCCAAAGTTACCTCTGTTGCAGAGGATAAGCTCATCAGAGTTAACTGCACTTCAGATTGCAGCCCAAATAAATACTTCACAGAGTTCAAGTAACAGACACATCTCAACATCAGGCCTTCATGGTCAAATTGCTGCAAAGAAACCACTACTAAAGGACACCAATAAGAAGAAGACTTGCTTGGGCCAAGAAACATGCACAATGGACATTAAACCGGTGGAAATCTGTCTTTTGGTATGATGAGTCCAAATTTGAGATTTTTGGTGTCTTTGTGAGACGCAGAGTAGGTGAACGGATGATCTCCGCATGTGTGGTTCCCACCGTGAAGCATGGAGGAGGAGGTGTGATGGTGCTTTGCTGGTGACACTGTCTGGGATTTATTTAGAATTCAAGGCACACTTAACCAGCATGGCTACCACAGCATTCTGCAGCGATACGCCATCCCATCTGGTTTGCACTTAGTGGGACTATCATTTGTTTTTAAACAGGACAATGACCCAACACACCTCCAGGCTGTGTAAGGGCTATTTGACCAAGAAGGAGAGTGATGGGGTGCTGCATCAGATGACCTTGCCTCCACAATCACCCGACCTCAACCAAATTGAGATGGTTTGGGATGAGCAGCCAACAAGTGCTCAGCATATGTGGGAACTCATTCAAGACTGTTGGAAAAGCATTCCTCATGAAGCTGGTTGAGAGAATTCCAAGAGTATTTTGATTTGTTTAACACTTTTTTGGTTACTACATGATTCCATATGTGTTATTTCATAGTTTTGATGTCTTCACTATTATTCTACAATGTAGAAAATAGTAAAAATTAAGAAAAACCCTTGAATGAGTATGTGTCCAAACCTTTGACTGGTCCTGTATATATTTCAAATATTGAAACACAGATTTGAGACCAGAATAACATTACCAGTCAGCTTTGTTTTCAATGTATTATTTTTACTTCATAGGGGTTTCAACTATATCCACAACAACATGTTGCAGTGCTTTATAGTACAATATGTTGCATTGAACTACGCCCTCTGACATAATCTGATACTTAGAATACAACCAGTGAGGTTTTAGAAAACAGGTCAATGGAAACTAGAGTGTTAGCAGATTCCTCTGCTTTGTTTGGAGATTTCTCCAGGACTCGAGAAATAGTAAAACACACCCCCTGGCCAAGCTAACTCACATCCCTCTGGTACAGCTATTGGAAGTGTGAATATGATACAGCTGATGCAATGTGATTCCCGAGTGGCGCAGTGGTCTAAGGCACTGCATCGCAGTGCTAGCTGTGCCACTAGAGATCCTGGTTCAAATCCAGGCTCTGTCGTAGCCGGCCGCGACTGGGAGACCCATGGGGCGGCGCACAATTGGCCCAGCGTCGTCGAGGGAATGGCTGGCAGGGATGTTGGTAGAGCATGGCGTTTGCAACGCCAGGATTGTGGGTTCGATTCCCACGGGGGGCCAGTATAAAAAAAATTATAATAATAACGTATGCACTAACTGTAAGTCGCTCTGGATAAGAGCGTCTGCTAAATTACAAAAAAAAAAAAGAAATAGTGTCAAGAATGGTTAGTGTTAGGCTAACAGACATTACCATCAATATCTTATGCGTGTGTGTACATCCATTTGGTAAAATGCAGAGGTGGAGGTCACAAACAACCACTCTAATATACTCATCAATTTACAAGGGGGTTGAGTGCATGCTAATGACAACAAATGCACTTTTCACACCTATTACAGTGCCTTCGGAAAGTATTCAGACCCCTTGACTATTTCCACATTTTGTTACGTTACAGCCTTATTCTAAAATTGATTAAATTGTTTTTTTTTCTTCTCATCAATCTACACACAATACCCCAAAATGACAAAGCAAAAACAGGTTTTTAGATTTTTTTGCAAATGTATATTTAAAACCCCCCCGGAAATGACATTTACATAAGTATTCAGACCCTCTACTCAGTACTTTGTTGAAGCACCTTTGGCAGCAATTACAGCCTTGAGTCTTCTTGGGTATGACGCTACAAGCTTGGCACACCTGTATATGGGGAGTTTCTCCCATTCTTCTCTGCAGATCCTCTAAAGCTCTGTCAGGTTGGATGGGGAGTGTTGCTGCACAGCTATTTTCAGGTCTCTCCAGAGATGTTCGATCGGGTTCAAGTCCGGGCTCATTCAGAGACTTGTCCCGAAGCCACTCCTGCGTTGTCTTGGCTGTGTGCTTAGGGTTGTTGTCCTGTTGGAAGGTGAACGTTCGCCCCAGTCTGAGGTCCTGAGCACTCTGGAGCAGGTTTTCATCAAGGATCTCTCTGTACTATGCTCCGTTCATCTTTGCCTCGATCCTGACTAGTCTCCCAGTCCCTGCCGCTGAAAAACACCCCCACAGCATGATGCTGCCACCACCATGCTTCACCGTAGGGATGGTGCCAGGTTTCCTCCAGACGTGACGCTTGGCATTCAGGCCAAAGAGTTTAATCTTAGTGGTCTGAGAGTCTTTAGGTGCCTTTTGGCAAACTCCAAGCGGGCTGTCATGTGCCATTACTGAGGAGTGGCATCCGTCTGGACACTCTAACATAAAGGCCTGATTGGTGGAGTGCTGCAGAGATGGTTGTACTTCTGGAAGGTTCTCCTATCTCCACAGACAAACTCTAGAGCTCTGTCAGAGTGACCATCAGGTTCTTGGTCACCTCCCTGACCAAGGCCCTTCTCCCACGATTGGTCAGTTTGGCTGGGCGGCCAGCTCTAGGAAGAGTCTTGGTGGTTCCAAACTTCTTCCATTTAAGAATGATGGAGGCCACTGTGTTCTTGGGGAACTTCAATGCTACAGACATTTTTTGGTACCCTTCCCCATATCCGAGCCTCGACACAATCCTGTCTCGGAGCTCTACGGACAATTCCTTCCACCTCATGGCTTGGTTTTTTCTCTGACATGCACTGTCAACTGTGGGACCTTATATAGACAGGTGTGTGCCTTTCAAAATCATGTCCAATCAATTGAATTTACCACAGGTGGACTCCAATCAAGTTGTAGAAACATGTCAATGATGCTCAATGGAAACAGGATGCACCTGAGCTCAATTTCGAGTCTCATAGCAAAGGGTCTGAATACTTATGTAAATACGTATCTTTATTTATTTATACATTTGCAAAAATATTTTGCTTTGTCATTATGGGGTATTGTGTGTAGATTGCTGAGGATTAAAAAAATAAAATAAATTTGAATAAGGCTGTAACGTAGCAAAATGTGGAAAACGTCAAGGGATCTGAATACTTTCCGAAGGCACTGTATAACCCCACAAACAGTACACCAAACCATGATGGGTTCCCCTGGCCTGCAGGGTGCAGCGATGCTGTCCAGGAAGTGCTAGGGGGAGGAGAGGCAGAGTTCCACCTCTGGGAGATGAGCAGAGAGCCTGGTATGGAAGACAGGAGACTTCTAGAACAGGAGACTTCTAGAATAGAGTCACAGGAGTCCAAACCAACCCTTTAGACCACAGAGCATGCAGGACTAGGCGAGTCTGGGAGAGTGTGGTGAATCCTTGCACTCTAGTGGCAGCAGACAGATGGATAAAGCTTTGTGCTTTTGAAGAACGAGGGAAGTAGAAATGCTGACCATTAAAAAAGTAAATTCATAATTATTTTCTCCAAATCAGATTTGTTCTTTTCATTCTTCCTTCAATCTCAAAGGAAGAGATGGTATTAAAATACAGTATTCTAATTGGGACATTTTAATTAGCATGTAGAGCTACTCTAATGAAACCTGTCCCATGACAGCAGTGAGAACGTTATTAACTGTCTGTCAGGGAAACCTCTCCCTCCCAGCCCCTACCCAGAATGCCTTGCAATCACAACAAGACACCCAGCCTCCTTTCACTGCTCTAAGGAAAGCTATTAATTTTCTGTCAACATATCCTCCACCTCACCTAAGTACATTACTTTTACAAAATCCACCAATATTGATAATCTGGGATGAAAAACAGCATTAAGTACGACATACATTTTGTTTGAAATTTAAACATCCTTAATCAACGCATTATAACAATAATGATAACAATTATAATAATCAGAGCAATAATTATAGTATAGCAATAATAATAATGGACATTGCCTAAAAACTACATAATGTTGCATTTTTTCCATAAGGTCTCAAAAACATATATATAGTGGAAGTACATTTTCTTTCACTTTTTTTCTGGCTAATAGTAACTTAAATATTTACAATGATTAATTTACAACCAATGGCCCAGCCCAGTCAGATAGTTGTCCTTTAAAAAAAATTAAAAGCACAAGAGGAGGATGAAGGGTCCATGTGTCTGTGATAGTGGCCCACTGGGTAGGTGGGTGCTGTGTGTCCCAGTGTGGACTCCCCATGTCAGTGTCTCAGGACCGAAGGTTCACATGGCCACCAGCTGGCCCAGAGCCATGCGGAACTGCTGTGTACAGCCGGCCAGCTCCCGAACCCTCTCCGTCATGTCTCGTGCAGCACCAGGGGAAGGGTACTGCAGCGCTGCAGTCTTGGTGCTCACCACGATGTCCTTGAGTTTGTCACACAGAGCATTACTGTGCTGGGCCACATGCGCCCGCACCTCCAGGGACTTGGCCTGCCGAGAGAGCGTGTCCCCGATGAACACCAGCTTGTGTGCGCTGAGGATGACAAATTTGCTGTGAGCCACAAAGATCTTGGGCGGCTGGTTGTTGTTGATGGAGGAGTAGAAGGCGTCGATGGCGTTGGTGAGGGTGGTGACGTTTGCCTCACACTGCTCCGAGTAGAAGAGCAGCAGCTGCCGGTCGCCCATGCTCAGCTTGCTCCGCTGGGCCGCCGGATAGTGGGGAGGCGGGGTCCAGCCTGAGATGTCATTGTTGATTGGCCGGCTGACTTCCTGCTCCAGTTGCTCAAACTGTTTCAGCTGCAGTAGATGGGAACACAGAGAGAGTAAATAAATACCCGCCTGATCTGTAAACATCCCATATGTACTGACTGAACCCTCAACCTCTAAGACACCAATGTAACAGCACAGTCATTCATAATGTTCTTTCAAACACTCCCTTATTAATGAATCAGATACAAATCCACTCTCACTGACTGATAGACCCACAGGTCCTCACCTGCTGCCGTTCCAGTGTGGTTTTGTTTTGTCTGGTCCCTTTCTCTAATAATTGCCTCTGATTCTTCTCAAACTCTTCCTTACCCTGGAAATCAAATGACAGAAAGAAAATGTATCTTATTTACTGCTCCAAGCACATAGACACAAACACACTAAGCCAATGCTGGGATGGAATTTTAATTCAACTGGCTCAAGGGAGGATTACCCATATAAAATAATGTCTGAGACCACGTGATAATTCTCCTAATCAGCAGAGGGCAGTATGAGCTCATATCACACCACACCAGACCAGACTGCAGCTCTGCCACAAAGTGACACATGACATCAAGGTTTGTATGTTAGTGTACCAAACACACATAAAGCACTGAAACATATTTAAGATATAACTGTATTTTAAATAAGATCATATCATCTTAACATCATCTGTTCTCCTTGCATTTTCACAACAACAATACTGCTGCACATGAGGGATACAACAGTAGCAATGGACAGCGAAAGCGATGATGTATGATGGGTATGTAGAGAAAAAAAAAAAAACGCCTCCTGAGTGGCGCAGTGGTCTAAGGCACTGCATCGCAGTGCTAACTGTGCCACTAGAGATCCTGGTTCGAATCCAGGCTCTGTCGCAGCCGGCCGCAACCGGGAGACTCATGGGTGGCGCACAATTGGCCCAGCGTCGTCCAGGGTAGGGGAGGGAATGGCCGGCAGGGATGTAGCTCAGTTGATAGAGCATGGCGTTTGCAGCGCCAGGGTTGTGGGTTTGATTCCCACGGGGGGCCAGTATAAAAAAAAATATATGTATTCACTAACTGTAAGTTGCTCTGGATAAGAGCGTCTGCTAAATGACTAAAAAATGTAAAAAATAAAAAATGTAAAAAAAAACAGGCCTGCACATGCAGTAATGGTGACTGATGATGACACCTGAAGCAGTGTGTTGGGGGAGTATGTGTATCCCACATGGCGAAGCCTTGTATGGGCAATTGATCAATCTACTGGCTGTTGTATGGAGATAGACTCCAGGTGTATCATCATCTCTATCTTCTCTCTCATCTGAAATACTGTAATAACGTATCATTATAGACACTATGGCTTAACATAATCCATGGGTTAATGTAGAGTGCTGCTGATTGCGCCAAACCACCATACTGTTATGAGAGTACCAGTGCTTATTCTCGACTGATAATTAAGGATGTAAATGCATGTGTGATGATCTGTTTTGTTCTTTCATATGAGGAGGTTTTACCTGTAAATGCACATAGTCATAGTCCTCCATCCAGCCCTCCTCTGTGGTCTCGTACGGCCGGTCAGGGGTCTCCTCCTCGGACGTGAACTTGGGCGGGGGCGGCAGGGGCCGGGACTGGATGTTGGCCCTGCCATCTCCTGTCTGATAAGCTGAGATGTTGTTGTTGGTCATCTGACCCATGAGGTCAGCAGTGTGGGGGACAGGGGGCAGAGGAAGCTGCTGCTGCTTGTTTGTCCTTTTAAAGAGCAGCGAGGCATTGCCATGGAGAAAGGAGGCCAGCTGTTTGGTGTCGTCGGGCACGCCCCGGGCACACATGACCAGCCGGTCCAGGTCATCCCCACCACTGCCCGCTGAGGGTGCCATCAGAGCAGAGGGGGCCCAGGCCACAGCATCCAGAGCCTGGCTGTACTTGACCAGGCTATGGAAGGCTTCCTCCATCTTCTGCACCTGCTTGCCCAGCTTGGCCTGCAACGTGCGGTCAGTGGCCTGGGCAGAGTTGGCCACGGCCCCCCGTGCAAACTCCAGCAGGTCCCTGACGGCCGCCCTCATCCTGTCCACCGCCTGCCTGATGGCTGGGAGGTTGGCCTCCATCTGGGTGGGGCTGCGCCAGTTCCCACTAATGAAGGACATGAGGAGGGAGACGGAGCCCTCCACCTCCTGCTGCAGTTGGGAGAGGCGCTCCATGGCCTGCTCCAGGTCTAGGATCAACAGTTTCCCCAGGCCGGCCTGGCCGGGCACTGCCGACTCCCTGACTGGCACCATGTCCAGAGAGGAGGTGGACAGGTTGCTGCGGGTACTGCCCGTGCTGGAGGCAGACAGTCGTTTGAAGCTGACCGTCAGCTCCTCTGTGGCACCCGCGTCTCTCACCACCTGAGGGGGGACGTCATAGATGGAGTCCTCGCACGCAGGCCGCTCGCGCGGGAAATCGTACACATCCTGGGGGTTGTGGGGTCCACCCTTCCTCAGACTGGCGGGGATGTCGTAGATCTCCTGGCCCAGTGGGGCGTGGTGGGCGTCTGGGTGGCACTTGCCGGTGAGGGGAGGGGGAGGGACATCGTACACGTCTTCAGGGATGGGGGGCTCAGGCCCCCCGGGGATCAGATAGCCCTGGTTCTGGCTCTCCAGACTCTTCAGCTTGGCGAAGTGGGGGGGAACATCATAGGTCTCCTCCCTGATAGGAGCGTCTGGAACATCCTTACTGACGGAGGGGGGGAAGTCGTACACCTGGGAGGAAGACAGAGGCAACGTCAAACACACATACTGTAGTGACTCTCACTGCCATATGACTTCATAATGACGTGAAGCACACACACTGACTCTCACTGCCATAGGATTTCATAATGATTTAAAACACACATTCTGACTCATGATAAGGAGGAGGGATGGTTACTTTAAGGCACCACATATCCAGCAAACAAGGACAGGTGGTAAAGTACACAGGGATTGATGAGTCTACCACTGTCTCCCTCCTCTACTACAATAACAGACAGAGAGGACACCCTATTGGTGCAGCAGCAGCAGCCTCTCACCGTTTGCTGGGAGAACATCTGGCTCTTGTCCACACTTGGGGGCGTGTCATAGATGTCTTGGCCACTGGGGGGGCCTTTCACCACCATGGGGGGCGTGTCATACACCTGGGAGGAAGATAAAAGGTACAATGAGATAAAACACCCACACCCCAAGCAATAAAGATACATTTACAGACACACATACAGACACACATGGGGCGGCAGGTAGCCTAGCGGTTAGCGCGTTGGGCCAGTAACTGAAAGGTTGGTAGTTCAAATGCCTGAGCCGACAAGGTGAAACATCTGTTGATGTGCCCTTGAGCAAGGCACTTAACCCTAATTGCTCCAAGGTCACCGTTGATAATGGCAGACGCTGGCCGTGACCCCACTTTCTGAGGGTGTCTCAGAGGGAGTTGGGATATGCAGAAAACACATTTCCAATTCACATATGTGTATTAATACACACTTATATAAGCATCCACCAAATTATTATTATTACATAAATACGCAATCAGGAATAAGAGCTCAATTACAGCTGCAGCAGACTCCATTGAGGAGCATACTAAAAAAGGGAGGGACTAATTAAATCAAGTTTCTGAGAGCCTGTTGGTTTAATCCAGTTGAATGTGGAGAAGGTGGGAGGGACTTTGCCCACTTTGTCCTCTAATCTCTCCTCTCTCTGGGGCTCCTCTCTTCTCCGCTGCCTTCCTACCATTTTTTGTATGCTTTCTTTTTTCCTCTCTCCTCTTCTCATTAGTTAGGGTGCATAATGTTAAGGAAGGGGGGGGTGGGGGGGGGGGGGGGGGGGGGGGGGGGGGACAAACAGAGGCATTATTAAGGCTGCAGGCTGAGAGGGGGTTAGTGATGGCGTTGATACACGCGATAGGGGACCCTCTCTCCCACTCCTACACAGAGGATACACATCCTATCTGGGACTGGCCCTGACACACACACAGGGAGCTGGACTGACTGGAGCATGATTAAAGTTGGAAACAGCTGGAGAAAATCTCGTATACAGCAGAGACCTTAACCTCAATGCTAACTCTGCTCTCATAAAACCTCGGTGCTACTGGTCAGTTGTGCCTGCTCTCGCCACTGTATGACATATGAAAACCATAAGGATATGTGTGTGATGCCCACAAAATGCAACATTCAAAACAATGTGATATTACTGCAACAATGCTACAGAATGTTTTTGAGAGGATGCCTATTGCCTAACCTCCTCTTTTCTAAAGCACCGTCAAATTCAATCCCACAATGCACTTGAGCCTGGAGCAGCGGCGAGAGAATTAACTTTGCTGTCAGTCTTGTGTGAGTAAACTTTTAGAACATACCGCCATGCAGCAGCCAAAGTCTCCGTCTGTCTCTCTCCAGCCCGTGAAGGGTCTGTTGTTGTGCTCTGCACACTACTTTTACAGCTTTTGATTAATAGACTATTTCACAACTATATAGGTGATGGTAGTTCACCAAGTCAATGAGCTTGGTAATGAGTTTTAGAGGGCAGTTTAATGCTACATCTTTTAGGTTAATGGCTGTATTAAACAGTACTTTGTTGATCATAAACATCAGAATGACGCTCCATGTGTGACACTCGCAAACACACAACCCAATCTACTGCCAGGGTCTGACAAGGGACCCTCTCTAAAGTTTATGATGCTGAGGAAGGATTATCTGCAGGCTGGGTGTCAATAAGTGTTGCACCTGAGGAGGAATATTGTATGTGGTATCTAAGACTCAACTTCATCCCTGTTTCTCTACAACCTGACGGCAAACAGCAGCAGACTGACAAGCCAACTTCTCCATCCACTCCTGTACCCCTATTAACACACAGCAAATTGCACTCCCATCACTCGAAATGCGGCTGTCCCCAAACAAGCAGATTAACAATTATAATTCTGTAAAATACAATCTGTTCTCCAGGCCTTTGGAGGATGAGACTGACAGAGAGAGGAGGCAAGAGGGACTACAGTATGAATAATAAATCCACCCCCACAACCATTGGGCACCTTGAGAAAACACTTGATCAGAATCTTGAATTCAGGCGATGCAATTTGTTTGGAGTTGGTATTCAGCGCGGGTATACTGATCTGATAGCAGACAGGTTGGAGTGAAAAATAGATGTTTGTGTTACTCCTCTCAGCAGAAAACCAAAGCCAGGGCTCAATAGATTATCCAGTGAACATGTGCTGCTATCTGAGCTTGAATGCAATGATATCCCTACAGGCCCTGCACTATATTTGAAGGATCACACTGTCTCTCTAAAAGGCTGTATGTCTACTCCTTTCAGCTTCCTCTTATTCATTTTTGTTTCTACTCTCAGTTTGTCTTCCAGCTGTTTTTCTCCCTCTCTGACGCAGTCAAACAGCTTTTCCTCTTTTTCCCTCATTCTCTCCTCCCTCCAGCTAGTTCTTTACCCCTCTCTACTGCCATGCGACCTTTGCTTTGGGAATAGAAGATGTCAGTAGATAGAATGGCTGTGTGCTTGTCTATCTGCTCCAGAAGTCTGTCTGTGTCTGTGTCTGTGTGTGTGTGTTTGTTAACGAATGACACCTTCAGAGCCAGAGCACATGCAGCTCAGGACACGCTGCTCACTGTGCTTTGTGGAAAAATACAACCTTCATTTTCTAACGCCTCCAGACACTGAAATATCTACTTCCCCTGCTAGTAATGTATGACCTCCTCTAAAAATAGACATGGAATCACAGAACTGCCGTGGGTTTAAACATACACAGAGAGTGAGAGAGAGACAGAAAGAGTGAGAGAGAGACAGAGAGAGGGAGGTGAGGGAGAGTGGTTTAATATTCCCAACACATCAATTATTAATGAGAAGCGAGACACTTCACAGACAGATGACCAATCGAGTCGGGAAGTGTGTCTAAGGCAGTCGAGAGGAATAATAGCCATCAATCTTGTGAAGAGGATGAAATCACTTCAGTGACATAGGAGACAATAAGTGGCGAGGCAGGACAGTGAGAGGACATGAATACCACAGCCCCTCTCATACACAGGACACCATCACTAGTGTGGCTCAATTGCTGATGATATGGAAGATGAGAAATGTGATCTTCAGAGATGTGGGTATGTTACTGTTACTTTACTAGAAAGGCGGGGGAGTGCAGTGTTAACATAAATGCAGGTGAGGTAAACATATGTTTCCCATGCCAATAAAGCCCTTTGAATTGAATTGAGAGAGAGACGAAAACAGCACGTCCAGGACAAGGTAGCATGTCTGCTGAACAAGTCAGAGTTCCATAGCCACAGGCAAAACAACAGAAACTGGATCAGCAGCACGACCAGGTGGACTGGGGACGGGGAAAGCCAGGAGTCATCAGGCATGGTCCTAGGGCTCAGGAGAGAGATCATGTGTTTCTAGCTGACTCCTCACCTGCTGGTTGTATTGGCCACGGGTCGGGGGAACATCATAGATGTCCTGGGACTGCTGGGAGGGAGGCAGGTGTCTGGGGGGGACGTCATACTCATCCTGCTCTGAGTTCCCTGTGTCATACACATACACCTGGCCCACCCGCGTTGGCACCACCACCTGACGGAGATGGAGATAGAGACAGAGAGACCGAGACAGAGAGAGAGAGACAGAGAGAGACAGAGGGAGAGAGGCATGAGGTTAGTGAAATGGTCTGTTACAGTATTTTGTCAAATTGATGCATCTTTAAGCCTAATGTGCTTTTCCTCGGTCCAAATGACTCCATCACATAGACGATTACTGTAGTACGCACATTATATCCACTCAAGACTCAATCATAATGAAGTCCCCCTGCCCACAGTGAGAAGTCAACACGGCCTGTAACACAGTCAGGGTCTGGATTAACCCCAGAGGCAGTAAAAACAGAATGGGGGTCCTGGCAGGTCAGTATGGGAACAAGGGCTGTCCTATTGTCTGCCTGTTTACCCACAGTATTATAGTCTCAGGGTTATGTCAACTGTCTGGGCCTGGGAAATGAAAACAGACAGACCGCTATATAGACAACAGCACATTGGCTTTCCATCAATACAGAGACAGTAACTGGAGCATACCATCCATCCAAACTAGTACACATACTTAGTATTCAATACATCACAGGATATTAAGAATCAAAGCATTACCACTCCCTATCAGGACCATATCATGTCATATAATCATATGATATTTCCCTGCATCAGTGCTCCTTGGCAGTCTATATCTGAGTTCCTCTGACTGTGTGTTTGTGTGTGTGGATCTCTCTCCTCTAACTTCCTTTCATCTGGCCCTGCTATCGATCCCCTGCAGGCGAGGGCTGTGGAATCACACAGAGAGGGAATGCTGGTATCTCACTCCCAATCAGGGCAATGGGGAAATCTCTGATGATCTACTCCCAGCTACAGAGATACACTGCTGCTGCTGCTGCCTTCACTACTGATGGGAGAGGAGTGTAGCAGTCCAATCACACATACATGCACACACACATGCACTCACGCACACACACATGCACTCACGCACACGCACACGCACACACACACACACACACACACACACACACACACACACACACACACACACACACACACACACACACACGGTCAATCACCTTAGAGAAATAATACAATACAAAAGCTGCAGCACTGATACTAACTATACTGAACACACCTCCTGGTACAAGATGGTGGTGCCTAGTGAACTGCCCGATAGCACTTAATAGAATCTCATCATATCCACTCTGGAATTCCACCTCCACTCCTCACTAGTGGCTATGGCAACCAGGCATGTGGGAGTGAGATAGATGCTCTTCAGATATTGAGTGTGCACCAATCCAAGTTTAAAAAATGCAGCAATAAATATCTATTAGTAATCAATATGCAAGTTCACATACAATCAAATAAATCCTTTGTCCATTTAGATAGACAGAGAAACAAATACACACCGACACACTTGCATACACAAATATGCATGAGTACTCGAGCACCCCCACACACACACACAACCACCCACACACACACACACACACACACACACACACACACACACACACACACACACACACACACACACACACACACACACACACACACACACACACACACACACACACACACACACACACACACACACACACACACACACACCAGCCTTTACTAATTGTTAATTCTACTCCCCTTCTCTGGCTCTCCTTTGTGGAGGGTACCTCAGTAGTCTGCTTGACTGGCATTTAAGAAACCAATGACATTCTTTGTTAATGAAACGCCACAACTCTCCCAGATCCTCTAATAATATTTGCTCTCCCAGTGAGGCTGCCTGCCACTTGAAAGGTGACAGCACAGCTAAACAGATAATTAAGCCATTGCCCCTGAAATAAATCTGACAATCTGCCTCTGTTAATATGTCTCATCCCTGTCCTCATGTCCTGTCTGTATCCCTCCTCCTCCTCCTCCTCCTCCTCCTCTATATGCCTCCCTTAGTCCATTCATTCAGAACCAGTGTCTAAAGAAAGAGAGTAGATGTTCTTAACTGACAGCCTATACGCTGAAATAGGAGTAAGGGAAAACCCCAGAACAAATTTAATCAACTGAACCAAAGTAATATTAGAATCTCTCCCTACACAAAACTCCCTCCCTCTCCCACCTCCTCCCCCTTTTTCCATCTCTCTCCCCTCCTTTCCCTGCCTTACTTTCCTAGTCTCTACAGACAGCCTATTCTCCATGGCGCTAGCCAGTTTCACACACGTTTAAAGTACACAGCAGGTGTTTCATCTAACACATCACAGGATGATATCTCCCAGCCTCCTTGGCAGCCTTCTCTCACACAAAACGCTCACCTTCCTCAATACTCAGATATAATGTAGATCATAACATTTACTGTATGCTCCTCTTGACCTAAAGACCTTTACTACAACATAATAACAATATTCCTTTGTGCTATAAGGGTGATGAGATGGGATATGCAAGCACAACTGACAACATGTCATTCTGAGTTTATTCATATTTATTGTGTTTTATCTGGCATGTTTTGTCCTGTTGACATGAATGTAAACAGCCCACAGAAACATGAATCACACACACACCAGCATGTTCCTGGGAGCGTCAGGCTACTTATTGACAGAAGTAAGTGAAAGTCAGATGTCTATCACGTAACCTCGCTCTTATCGACAAAGATCCTCCATGAGCTTTTAATGAGATTAGAGGGAAACATTCTCAGAGTTTTGGTAATTCAACACATGGTAATGAGCCAGCCCTATCAATGCCCTCCTCAACTGGCCCTTAACGTCATCTAATGGTATTGGAGGATCCCTCTGAGGCCCTGAGCTCCATCAGCATAACTAATGGTGATCAATAGTGTGAATTATCAATGAGGAAGATGCTGGAGAGGGGAGGGGATGGGCACATATGGGCTCTGGCTCTTAGCCAAGTCCTCATCAATAGTGTTGAAAGGCTTCCGTCAATGGGAGAGAAGCAGGGGAGTGGGGGATGGGCCACACCCAGCCGCCAGCTGTCACAACATTCTATCAGGCCCTAATGATAATGTCACTAAAAGACGAGGAGCTCCATTGGAGCCATTGAGGGTGTGGAATAATGGGGAGCAGTGATGCTCTGCCCTAGGCCATCGCTGCTTTACTGGGCTGGCAGCTGGCCACAGCTGGTCCTCTCATGGAGGCTCTGTCTGTTGGAAAAGGGGTCACCCTGAGGAGAGGAACAGATTGCAGAGCCCCCATCACCACCACCCCACCGGCCCTCTGTTGCCCATGTCCCCCACCACCCACAGTCCACTGACCCCTAACCCAGCTGACACCATGATATATGCCACCACTCTCCACAGTCACCCTGTCTGTCTGTCTGTCCAGATCGTTTCAGAACACAAGGGTTTGCCAGTCCACCTGCAACAGGCAAGACAAATAAAACCTTCTTCTGACCCTTGTGAAGTGGTCTTTCAAGTGAACCAAGGGTAGAGTACTAAGACTAATATCCCACGTTGGACCTCACTTCTTCAGATGTTTGAAAATTAAACTCAGTTTTATGGCTTCCTTTGATACCCTTGATAGCTTTTTGGTGCTACATTCAAACACCTTAGGTAAAGTGTTATTATAATATAAATTATTAAAATAACCTAATAATCATAATTCCATCCCTATGATGAGGAGAATTTAATCTGATTTAGGTTTGATTGAAAATGCAGTCTGTATCTACTGCTGTGTGTTTCTATTACTCTCCCAGAGGCAGAACCCATTTTAGTTCACAGGTAGTGTGAGTGTGTTGTAATGTTAGTACAGTGCCCTGACCATAAAATCCTATTACATTATTAGAGGGCTATGTCATAAACACTAAAAGTTCAAGAATGGGGTGAAAATGGCAGCCATATTGGTCAGGGAGAAATCCAAACCAGTCTAATTGGAATGAATGGCAGTAGAGGCATAATCCTGATTTTACATATGCAGGAAAATAAAAGTAAGGCATGTGATATATTTAAGTGATTATGCCCGCTGATTGGAGGATATTGGCACAGGTGTTGTTAGGTCCGAGACGAAGTCGACACCAGCTTCGAGGGCATTATCACTTTTATACAACTGGTTACCAACATATACCAAAATAATGATTATTTTGATTAATATATTCATACTATTTCATCCTTCCACGAGATATAGTGTTTTTCTATTGACATTTCTTCATTTACAGTATATCCATAAAAACTATGCTGATTCATGATTTCAACTGGCTGAGAAAAGCTGCCAGCCTGTCTGCCTCGTCCCGACTCCCAACACGTTCATTACCATAGGACACCTGGAGACCGAATTTCAATATTGAAACAATGTTGCAAATGTTGGAGAGACAGACAGCTAGGTTATTACAAATCTACGCTGTTGAAAACCAAATGCGAGTCTAAAAGAAATGGGAGATAATGTCTAGATGCTTTTTACAGTGTAGATCTAGTACATAAATTGCCTGGCTGGGCTGATTAGACAGTGGATTGCGCAGTCAGATGGAACAGAGTAAATAGGCATTTCAACGTCATAGATTTAGCTGGTGGTAAATTGTGGAATAGACACCGGCTGGAATGCGGTTTTAACCAATCAACATCCAGGATTAGACCTACCCGTTGTATAACAGAAATTGTGCAATAAAATTATTGTCAACCTAAAATATTGTTGTGTAATTATAAATACAGTTTATATGAGTTTTATACAAATGTTCTGTATAAATAGCCAATAAAATATATGCAAACAGACCATAAATGTCAAAATTGTTGTTTTCTTGGAAAGCTGTTGCTATACTCCGAGTCGGTATTCATGTCATAAGAAGGAATTCCCCTCGACCACGCACACAAATTGGGGAAAATAAACATTCTTTTCCATTGACCCCCATTGTAAAAGAGCCAACTTCGTTGTTGATTTTTTGTTATACAGAAATAACAAAACATGCTGAAAAGCTGCTGTGTTGTTCAATATACATGTAACCAGGTTCGCAATGCTCCCACGTAGAGAAATAGAGCCTGCGGAAAGAGGCCGAAGGCTTCAGGCTATATGGCGTGGGAGATTGGGAAATGTGGGGACCCGGTGTCCAAGTAGGCTACACGTAGCTATGTGTGTGGAAAACATTTGGCTGAGGATTGACTGCATTGTTTCAATGTAATGTTGGCATATTAGCAGTTAATTTGAAACATTTATGGAATAATTCCTCTAAAAGTGGCTGGCTAGCTAGCTAACAAACATGAAGTGCAGATACATTCTTCAAATTCATTATTTTTTACACAATATCTTATCACAGCACTGGTAAACCATGGTTGACCAACTCCCTGAACAAAATGGCTGACCTTTATCCGATCATAAGAAGGTCCATTCTAGTATTCTAATTCCTAATTCTATTCTATGGCCCTGACTAGGCCATGAATAACAAAGCCCTGAGTGCTTTATCATAGGGTCAAAGTCCAAACGCTGAGGGGAGTTGAAGTAACTTCACACATATTTTTTTCTTCATGAGGATTAGGAGGCCGACCGTGAAGGATAATTCCTCCACAGACCCCCCCCTCCCATCATCTCCCCCATCTCAGCCTGATGAGGGGCCATCTGTGGTACAAGCTGTGACCATTCCTTTTTTTGTAGAGAGGGGATAGAGGGATATGTAGGGGGGATAGGGGGACAGGCAGATGATTTTGTACACAAGCTTCAAACAGCAGATCATCACCTTCCCTCCAAGCCTCTCTCTTCCATGTTATTTTCCTAATCTTTCCCTAGACATGGCTGAGAGACTGGGGCGTGTAGCCTGTCCCCCCTACATATCCCTCACAGCTGCCTCACAGCTGCACAGGTTACAGGCATGATCAGCTGTGATGCCAGCGCCCGGCCCAGAACAGGGCATGGCATGGCAGAATGCAGCTGTGTCATGGCAACCCAGCTCCTGGGTCCTCCTCAGCTGGAGAGTGGCATGGCTGCCAGAGAAGAGAGACCTCATCTACACCACCGCCCACTCCAAGATGGCGGAGAGGGAGAAGAAGGGAGAGATGGAGGCAGTGTGGCTTGGACACAGTACAGGTCAAACACACAGACCACAGACTACAGGACAGAGGACAGGTCAAAGAAGGCCCATTCGAAGTTGTCCGATAGGTAATTTTATCCTATATGTATGTGGTAAACTGCATATTTATAAATGTATGTGGGGAGACTCAAACTGACTACTTCAGCTGGATATAGTAGTGACGAAGGGTTTCAATTCCGAGAAGGCTCTTAAATAAGGTCTTAATCCTCCCTCAGACCTAGGGTTGTTTAACCTAAAACTTTCCAAGCAGCTGGTGTGTGACCCAGATCAGAGCTAATATCCCTCCCAGCAGCAGCAGTAAATGGGAGCAGTGCAGTAAAGCTTGACTGTAGTGGAGCCCGTGGGGGTGTGGGGGGCTGAGACGCTGACGCAGGGTGGGGTGTGTAGATTTACAGCCCCATATCCCTGGTTCCCTGGTCCGGGCTGCAGGATTAATCAGGCCTTAATTAACTCCACACTTCTGTCGGAGCTCTACTGCTGGCCCCCTGGCCCGTGTGCCATGTGGCATGCCCCGGGCCAGAGTGAGTCAGCCTGGTGAGCCTGGCAGGACGGAGTACAGCGCTACTGGAGACAGGGAGGGCCTAACAACTAATCCGCAAAGACCCCCTCAACAGCCCCACGGGCCAGGGACGCATGCCCCAAATAGCTGCCATGACTAGGCAGGCCGTGACTAGCTGGGAGCACCACTCTCTACTGCTCTCTCTGCAACTCTCTATTTTTTTCGCTCTCTCTCAGTGTGTTTGTCTACAGCCCCCATGTAAAATCTCTCTTCAGCATCTCCTGGCAATACCACACTTATGTCTGTCTCAAATGGACGTGACTGTGTTACCGTGGAAAGGGTATCCGTCACAGCACCGGTCGGATAAGAACAGGAGAATCCTTCACTATCAATCTATTCATCTGTAGTTTCTATTGTAGAGAGAGTGTCAAGTGGGAATAGAAATGCTTCCATGTTGTTTGGACGGTGTAATAAGCAGTGTTAGGCTATGCTTTTATTTTTATTTTTTTACATGAATGCACTATTGACACTAGAACATAGCCTGAGGTAGCATTTGGTCCCCATCACTTCAAGCTTTATGTATTTCCTGTCTCCTTACTCAAGATTGGTCCCTTCTATCCCTGACCCTACTGAGAGGACCATGAAAACATCAAAGAGCCAGCCCCTATTAAAGCCATGACCACTAGGTTTACTACTCACTAATAAGGCCAACCTCACACCACATATACACACTCACAAAGAAACACCCATACATGGCTACACACATCCTCACACTAATGACACCACTCAGGAGTCAGGAGTGGGTGTTGAGCTGACAGAGGAGATGTGGTGCGTGTGTGAACCCTGTGTCCCTCCACTCTGATTTGGCCTCTCCCTCTCTCTCTGGCTTTTTGAGTCCCCCAGCCCAGAACAAAGAGCGCCCCTGGCTTCTGTGATATCCCATCCCTTTGATGAGAAACCACTGGAGCACACAGAGAGAGAGGCTTCTGGGGACCTGCTTTTTACGCTAAGGGGAAGATCCATGTCTCCGTGTCCCTTGCTAACCCCTATCTCATTTCCCCATCCCTCCCCTCTATCTGATGTAGGCTTTGTGGGGATGTAATAACAGGACCAGGGATGGAGCTCTGCATGAGAGCCCAAAAAGGCCCCACCAGCGCTCCACTGCTCAGGGCAACGTGTCCCCTGTAATTCCCTCTGCACTCTCTCACTCTACCCTCCCTCCCTCTGTCTCCCATACTCACTTTCTCTCCCCCTTTCTCTAAACACTATCAGAGCAGAAAATGAGTCCACAGCAGGTAATGGAGGGGAGACCTGGCAGGCAAGAAACAAGGCTTTTAAACACACACTCACCATACGCACATGCACACACACACACACACACACACACACACACACACACTGACCTCCTTACTCAGACTGCGTCACATCTACAGAGGAAATGTGTGAAACTCATTTTTTACATTTGACATTTTAGTCATTTAGCTCTTATCCAGAGCGACTTACAGTTAGCAGCCACAGATAGATCACAGATAGATTCACCTGGGTCCGTAGTGAGGCTGTACTCTAGAGATCCCTCAGTGCTGCTGACCAATGAGCCCACAGTAAGGACCGTGGGCTGGTGACAGCTGGACTGGGTACACTGTGAGGTGGCAGCCAGATGTGCAGGGCATCCTCTATCTCCTACGTCCCTGGCTGCTGGCATGTACCCACAGCACACCAGTCCTCAACTCACCCTCATGCACCAACACCCTTCACATAGGAATGCC